GCTGTATCACTATGTCACTCTTGTATCATCTGAACCGATCTGTATCACCATGTCACTCTTGTATCATCTGAACCGATCTGTATCACCATGTCACTCTTGTATCATCTGAACCGATCTGTATCACCATGTCACTCTTGTATCATCTGAACCGATCTGTATCACCATGTCACTCTTGTGTCATCTGAACCGATCTTTGTCATGTCACTCTTGTGTCATCTGAACCGATCTTTGTCATGTCGCTCTTGTATCATCTGAACCGGTCTTTGTCATGTCGCTCTTGTATCATTCATAATAAGAATTTAGGAGGTGGTAGTCAGGTTAGAGCTCTGATAGACAATTGTATCACTACAAGTTCGGATAGTCTGATGTGTTACAGTTTGTGTTACACTAAGTACTATCTTTACTAAGCCTCATTAGTGTTTTGTTAACTTCTGATGTATCCCATGTTGTCTCACACCTAGAGTCAATTTGTATTCGTTTATGTTACCATGGTAACGCATTAAAAATTTAATCGTTTTAGAATGCATGTTTATTACACAAGGCTTTGAATTGACAGACACTGCGCTGATAGTTATATGTAAGTACCTTGTACCAGTTTGGTTAGGTCTAGGGTCGGCACCCCATGTTAACAGGCTCGTGTATGTTTGCATAAGTCTTGCCTACAATATAGATCCCGGATTTCTTCTCTGTACTTTGACTCAATACATGAAAGAATATGTCATTTTATAGTCACTAATTAAAGTCACTTGGAATACTGTATACAACAAGAAAATGCCTCATGTCCACATAATCATAATCTAAATTCAAATTCAATAAAATTATGGCAAAAGATGAACAAGAGAAAGATTTACACGGAGACTCATGAAAAAATACAAGGAGACAAGGAGAAAGAGACCAAGTGTACCGGACGTGTGAGCGTCTTCTGCTTCATCGACGATACGCTGCCACGTAAACCATCATCAAATTAAGTCTGTAATATCCCTTTCTCAAATGAGAACAAAGTTTATGACAATTGAACCAGCAGACCATATGAAAGAATTATTGATATCTGTCTGTTGCAGTTGGTTTCATTTGTGCCAAATATCATAACTAATGTTGTCAAGTTGTCAATTATAAATCGTCTATGATATTAAACGTTTATCTGACTATTGAAATGTTCCTTTGGTCAGAATTTGACAGCGATATAAATCGAGGTTGATATGTCTACCAGCTAGGTAATAAAAACTTATATGATATCGAACATCTTTATTTACAATAAACTTCAGTCTCACAGCGCCAATATCAATAACTCACTCCTTCACACTCTAGACTTTAAGGAGATCTCTCATCTTAACTTACAAAATGTGTCTGATTGATGGAAATCTCATATTATTTACATCGATTTCTTTGAGTGTCATGGTTTTTGTATGCAAGTGTGTGGTTTTTTTTAATAAATTGTTGCAGTTATTTTGTTTGGATTTTTTCGTAAGAAATCGTTAATGGTAAAACTGCAAATGCATGGGTTCCCAGTGTAATGATTTATTTGGCAATATCTGTAAAGGGTGCTTTTATTGATGTCTAAACCTGAACTGTTTTAATGCAATGGCTGAAGAAAAATTGAAACATGCACAGGATTGGACAGTGGCCAATACATTCATTTTCCAATGTTTCAATTTCTTTTCATAACTTAATTCCATTCTTGAAAATTCTGGGAAACACCTCCCACTTTGAGAAATTTTGTCAGGATGATAGTTTGTACATACAAGACTTTTATAAGGTGCCACCGTCTTCTTCAATATGTCGTTTGTACTGACCGGTCGGTACCGTTGTGCTATGTAAATGTCTGTTTCACGTAGCCCGGTCGGTGCCGCTGTTATGTAAATGTCAGTTTCACGCACCCTGGTCGGTGCCGCTGTGATGTAAATGTCTGTTTCACGTAGCCTGGTCGGTGCCGCTGTGATGTAAATGTCTGTTTCACGTAGCCTGGTCGGTGTTGTTGTCATATAAATGTCAGTTTCACGTACCCTGGTCTGTGTTGTTGACATATAAATGTCCGTTTCAGTCTGATTCTTCCAGTTGTGATGTAACTCTCAGTTTCAGTCTGGTCTGTTTCGCTGTGATGTAAATGTCTGTTTCACGTACCCTGGTCTGTGTTGTTGACATATAAATGTCCGTTTCAGTCTGATTCGTCCAGTTGTGATGTAACTCTCAGTTTCAGTCTGGTCTGTTTCGCTGTGATGTAAATGTCTGTTTCACGTACCCTGGTCTGTGTTGTTGACATATAAATGTCCGTTTCAGTCTGATTCTTCCAGTTGTGATGTAACTCTCAGTTTCAGTCTGGTCTGTTTCGCTGTGATGTAAATGTCTGTTTCACGTAGCCTGGTCGGTGCCGTTGTGATGTAAATGTCTGTTTCACGTAGCCTGGTCGGTGCCGCTGTGATGTAAATGTCTGTTTCACGTAGCCTGGTCGGTGCCGCTGTGATGTAAATGTCTGTTTCACGTGGCCTGGTCGGTGCCGCTGTGATGTAAATGTCTGTTTAACGCATCCTGGTCGGTGCTGTTGTGTTATGTAATGTCTGTTTCACGTAGCCTGGTCTGTGCTGTTGACATATAAATGTCAGTTTCAGTCTGATTCGTCCAGTTGTGATGTAACTCTCAGTTTCACTCTGGTCTGTTTCGCTGTGATGTAAATGTCTGTTTCACGTTGGTCTGTTCCTATGTGATGCAAATGTCAGTTTCACGTAACCTGGTCGGCGCTGTTGTGATGTGAATGTCAGTTTCACTCTAGCTGTCTCGTTGTGATGTAACTGTCAATTGTAATTGTCAATAGGTATAAATTCTGCTCGGTTTTCCCCTCCTGCATTTTTGTTTACATTAGATTCATCGTTTTGACTTCCGCTCTGTATTATCGATCTTAATTCACATAAACAGTCGCAAATTTAAAATAATTGTCAAACATTAACGATATAAACCATTGCAATTCACAACGACCAGGTTTCATGTCGACTGGAGATAGCAACTAAGTAAAGCAAATAACATGACATATCCTGTTACATCCCGTGCGAGAGGAGTTTAAAATGTACCAAATACCTTAGAAGTTTGTTTCTTCAAAATCTGCGAAAATTAATTGTACATCAATACAGATAGGTATGTACGTTTAATTATCCCCGTTTCTAAATACCGTAATACATATTTAGAGAGAAAGCTTCGCTAGGGACTTGTAACAATAAAAACCCTAACCCGATGTGTGTGGCGAGGATGTTAAGTGTACTGATACACCCCTACAACTCAGACGTTAAACTAGTAACCAGGTTTTAATGTACGTGATTTTCAGTCGTAAACCCAATTCGATTTGATGTTTGGAATTGAAAATGTGCCATTAAGGGCCAAACTGTGAGTAGCACGTTAGACTGAATTACACCGTCAACGGGATTAATAAGATGTGTTTCTGCTCTCTATTTAACCGTCAAGTATTTAATTTAAGGTCGGTATGAGAATCAGTGATTACTAACGAAGACGTGTTGTTGAATGTGTCGGCCATGATTCTAATTGTACATCCGATAACTTCTTTCTAACGAGATTTTAAGATCCCCGCCGTATGCAAAACATTTATATATAACAGTAGTACAGCAACTTAATCTCGTGTTTGGTCTCGATTTGTATAGAAAATCTAATTTGTCAATGATAATTTCGTCATATGGTTCTTTGGAATCAATTGTATACAATGAAGCATTGCTTTACTTCCAAGGGTTTTGAAAAATTTGATAGTGATTTGAAAGGACGATAAAACCTTGCTGTACGGCCTAGGAGTTTGTGAAAGTTTGATGAAGAGATGGTAACACCTCACTGTACGGCCAAGGAGTTTGTGAAAGTTTGATGAAGAGATGGTAACACCTCACTGTACGGCCAAGGAGTTTGTGAAAGTTTGATGAAGAGATGGTAACACCTAACTGTACGGCCAAGGAGTTTGTGAAGGTTTGATGAAGAGATGGTAACACCTAACTGTACGGCCAAGGAGTTTGTGAAGGTTTGATGAAGAGATGGTAACACCTAACTGTACGGCCAAGGAGTTTGTGAAGGTTTGATGAAGAGATGGTAACACCTCACTGTACGGCCTAGGGTTTCCAATGGTTTGATGAAGAGATGGTAACACCTCACTGTACGGCCAAGGGGTTTCTGAAGGTTTGATGAAGAGATGGTAACACCTCACTGTACGGCCTAGGGTTTCCAATGGTTTGATGAAGAGATGGTAACACCTCACTGTACGGCCTAGGGTTTCCAATGGTTTGATGAAGAGATGGTAACACCTCACTGTACGGCCAAGGGGTTTCTGAAGGTTTGATGAAGAGATGGTAACACCTCACTGTACGGCCTAGGGTTTCCAATGGTTTGATGAAGAGATGGTAACACCTCACTGTACGGCCAAGGAGTTTGTGAAGGTTTGATGAAGAGATGGTAACACCTCACTGTACGGCCTAGGGTTTCCAATGGTTTGATGAAGAGATGGTAACACCTCACTGTACGGCCAAGGAGTTTCTGAAGGTTTGATGAAGAGATGGTAACACCTCACTGTACGGCCAAGGGGTTTCTGAAGGTTTGATGAAGAGATGGTAACACCTCACTGTACGGCCTAGGGTTTCCAATGGTTTGATGAAGAGATGGTAACACCTCACTGTACGGCCAAGGGGTTTGTGAAGGTTTGATGAAGAGATGGTAACACCTCACTGTACGGCCTAGGGTTTCCAATGGTTTGATGAAGAGATGGTAACACCTCACTGTACGGCCAAGGAGTTTGTAGGGAAGGTTTGATGAAGAGATGGTAACACCTCACTGTACGGCCTAGGGTTTCCAATGGTTTGATGAAGAGATGGTAACACCTCACTGTACGGCCTAGGGTTTCCAATGGTTTGATGAAGAGATGGTAACACCTCACTGTACGGCCTAGGGTTTCCAATGGTTTGATGAAGAGATGGTAACACCTCACTGTACAGCCAAGGAGTTTGTGAAGGTTTGATGAAGAGATGGTAACACCTCACTGTACGGCCAAGGAGTTACGGCCTAGGGTTTCCAATGGTTTGATGAAGAGATGGCAACACCTCACTATGTACGGCCTAGGGTTTCCAAGGTTTGATGAAGAGATGGTAACACCTCACTGAGCGGCCAAGGGTTTTCTGAAGGTTTGTTGAAGAGATTTAAACGCCTCGCTGTGCGGCCAAGGATTTTTCTTAAAGTTTGATGAAGAGATGGTAGCACCTTACTGTACGGCCTAGGGTTTCCAATGGTTTGATGAAGAGATGGTAACACCTCACTGTACGTCAAAGATTGTGAAGTGAAATGATGATGAAAGGTTGGTATATGAGGGAGGGGAAAAAAGAGGGAACAATTTAGACAGCAAACAGGGTGCCTTAAATAGAGACATTATAACGTGGTAACGGTGTCTGTCATAATAGTCTATGTTATAGCACTTACTTCAAATACATACAAAAAAAACTGGCGGAAATTTCCACAGTATGTAGTGATTAGAAGCTAAGCTGTAAAGATGTTTCCCGAAAAACAATAGCGGATGGCGGGTCAATAGCTGGAGGGGCGTAACTGCAAGCATACAATATGTATGTCGAATGAAGAATGAATGTAAAATCGGTCGCCATGATGTCTTGGTTGCCGACGTTAATGTACTAGATAGACAAATAACTGTGAAGGAACCTTGCCTCGAAAGACAAGCTGACACATGGCTTCTCAAATCAATCCAATTTGGAAAAAAATCACTACCAGAAAGTAATTTGAAAAAAGTAACTCAATCAGGCGAGCAATTCCGAACAGTAGATAATTTGATGTGAATATCTAAATCAATTTCAAGAAGGTAAACTTACCTTCGTGAAGAACTTAATTAAATATAGAGCTTGTCCGCTGTCTTCATATAGAACTGTGTTGAAACTAAAAACAAACGTAACAGATAGAAGTTGGTTTTGCGATCCAATCTAAAAGACGATTGTATAAGGAAGAGTCCCTAATGAAACAGGTAAACACTCCGCACGTGCTACTGTCAATGGCTTCCCGACGTATGTAAAGGAAAGCAAATTTGATAAGGCAGTTGTGTTGTTTTCTTCTAGTCAAGTGACTGTTTCTACATTTGCATTACATAAAGTGCATTGTACATTTTTTTTGTGAATGTGATCAATTTCGGGACAAAATAGGAAGACAAAGTTGAACGGAGACATCTGAAAAAGGTATGAGCTATTTTACTATTTGTCTTTTACTTGAATGAATATGTTGTATATCAATAAAAATGTATTCCCATGAAGCTGGATTATATAATTATGTATTTGGTATTTAAATCTTTAAAAACGAATTACACAGGGATAAATAAAAAGCCAAATAGTTTCCAGGATCAACGGTAGATGCCATCTTGACCAGCAAAAACATCAATGCAGGATGATGATGAATTGTTAAGATCAAAGGTGGGAAGCATAGAAAACATCAAATTGGATGAACAAAAGAAATATTTACAGGAAAACTCTTGAAATAATACCAGGATAGTAAGACCAGATGTTCCGGGAGATAAACCTCTTCTAGGTCATCAACGACACCCGCCATGTCGACCTAAACCGGTGATAAAGGTATTTGAATTGTGATGTATTTCGTTTGATTTAACACCTCACACGAAAACCTAAACTTTTTTGTATTTTTCAGTTCCATTGCTGCCATTGCTGGTATCGTGATTGGCTCATTAGTTGGCGCCATAACCCTGATAGCGGCCACGTGCTGTATCGTCTGCTACTGCGTGGTGAAGCGAAAAGAGGATTCCAATCTCGTCTGACCAATAAGTGCTCGAAAGGTAAGATATAGGTCATGCAACAAGGGGAGACAACACATCTTATTATTCTGTATTGCCTGCACCAAAATGTTGATATCTGATCCTGTACACTGCTAGACAACGAGACGGGTCAGAAAATGGACTTTTACTGTGGTTTTCATGTAAAATGAATGCAATGATAAACAAGCGCATATGCAACTTGCCTTAAGTACTTTTGTTTACACATTTACACTGGAGTGATTTTTCGATCAATTCTTCTTTTCTGAAAATTATTTGATAAGAATTTCACTTTTAAACAACTAAAATCAATACATTGATGGATTGGTAAATGTCATGTTTCTACAGAAAATCTTAACTTGCTATATTATTCTGTATCACAACACGTGATGCAGTATTACAACACGTGATGCAGTATTACAACACGTGATACAGTATTACAACACGTGATACAGTATTACAACACGTGATACAGTATTACAACAAGTGATGCAGTATCACAACACGTGATACAGTATCGCAACACGTGATACAGTATTGCAACACGTGATACAGTATTACAACACGTGATGCAGTATTACAACATGTGATACAGTATTGCAACACGTGATACAGTATTACAATACAGCATTACAACACATGATACAGTATTACAACAAATGATACAGTATTACAACACGTGATGCAGTATTACGACACATGATACAGTATTACAACACGTGATACAGTATTACAACACGTGATGCAGTATAACAACACGTGATACAGTATTACAACACATGATACAGTATTACAACACGTGATACAGTATTACAACACGTAATGCAGTATTACAATACGTGATACGGTATTACAACACGTGATACGGTATTACAACACGTGATACGGTATTACAACACGTTATACAGTATTACAACAATTCCATCACTGCTATACAATGTATTCCGCCGTTCTGTATCGTATGAAATGATTATACACAAACATACACAATGCTGTTAACCAGTTAATAATAAAGAGTGAGAAAGGAGGAAATTCAAATGAAATTTATTAAATTATTTATTAAATTTCCCTTTGGCAGACTTACTTAGAAGATGAAAATTTCATGTGTTTCATGGAATTCTTTAAAACCTCCTTGAGCGTTCAATTCTTCGCCTTTTTCTTTGTAGTTCACAAAGTGCCATTGAAAGTTCACTCGCCATTGTTACCTTGGCAACAATGGCAAGTACCAGGTCCACAGAATGTTATGAAACTGCTTTAACCCAAAGCCATTGGCATTTACCACACTCCGAAGTAGACAAATACGATCTTATTACAAAGATATCGCAAAACCGGAAGTTGTCGAATGCAAAGCATGTTGTCAGCACGAATACGAGGCATTGGAAACTAGTGAGAGGACGTTATTGGAGACGCCAGTCCATCTTCCACGGATATTTTGACGTGGGGAAAAACATACGTAAGTAACCAGCTATAGTTAGCATGTCAGTTTATCAACAGACTTTTGACAATCCTATGGTATATTCTGGTAGTAAAAACATGTAACTGTTTTCTGAAAATCGGTTAGAAAATGTCACTGGCTGCTATGCGCCATTTTGTGTCCTTAGTAGATATATATAAATACTTATATACTATATATATATGTTACAGCCATACCAACACGAGTTTGCAATATAACTTTAGTTTTTTAAATTATTAATATTATTTTGTTTATGTGCTACGCATCGTAATTTTCCAATTTCGTTTATTTTTATCCAGTGTTTTATTCACATTTTTTCTGGCACCACTGATCAAGATTGACCGGTCATTTAAACGTTTGCTTTCCGAATGTCCAGATAAGGCATTAGAAAAATCAGGATATATAGTATTAGCTGATAAAGCCACATAGAACATGCTTCAGTTTGACTGGCGTTAGTCATCAAGGGATGAATGGCAGCTCATGTTCTATTTCAGGTCTAGAAAAACCATGTTTACTCACAATCTGTCCATTAAATAAAGCTTAGAATTAACACGAAAACAGATTATGTTACTAAAACAGGGTTAACAAAACTAGCTCAAATGCTTCATGATGAAGAGCTATGTGATTTTCCGGGAATCCCAGTGACGAGTGAGGTGATACTTCTTCTCGGCTTACATTTTATTCAAAATAAAATCTCGCTAACACACGTTAGCAGCGTGATTTGATTCCACTTTTCACAACATTGATACGTCATCATGTGTTTGTTTCTTTGATTTGTTCGTCTCTACAACGGTGGGTAAACTCCTGTACCGTAATCAATTCCACGCTTTCTCGTATAAACTGTCATTTCTGTGTTTTCCTAGGAATAATACGGGTGATTAGCTAGTCTTATGTCACCGGTAAAGAATCCATTTGGTAGGAATTACACGCGCTTAAATAGCACCATAGAGTACAATTTCAGACAAATAGCCCTATTAAAATGTGACGGTACATTTTAATGAAATATTAGATGTACTGTAATCACAGATCACAGAATGTATTCAAATTTTAAAACTAGGCGATCTACACGTTTTACTTGTAATGTTAAAGTAATATAATATTAAGAGGTTTGAACTATTTTCTTAACGTCATTAATCACGTGGTTTCCTTGTCACATGGGGATACATAAAATAACAAGAAAATACCAACATGTCAACACAACAACAATTCAAACAAAATCCAATAAACGGGCAAAATATGAAAAAAGCAAGATTTATCCGGAGACTCCTGAGAGACACAAGAAGAATAAGGCCAAGTGTTCCGGAAGAGTAAGCGTCTTCTGCTCCACTGACGACACCCCAATGTAAATCTTGGTCAGTCTAAGTTAATAATGTTATGCTCGCAAATAAAAACAAGGTTAACAACAACGGAATCAACCGGCAAACTAACAAGCATCAAACATGTCCTGCTTCATAGAATATTTCTAAATGATATCAAATATTACGGCTGTAAAACTTCTCCATAATTCTCATCAACCTGCATCTTCTGAAACCCTGTGTTTCGAATTTGTCTGTCAGTTGATTTTTAACTCTGATATGTATACATGTAAGATGAACGTGATCAATAAATTTCTCATTAATATAAAGACACGACGTCTTACCTTTTTAACTAGCTATGCCATAGTTTAATGTTTGTGATGTGGCTTAGCTTTATGGTCTCTATCACGATATTATTAGAAAGTATCATATTACCTCCAGCGAGAAAAACGTTTCGATGCTCGTGAATATGCTTTGCGCTTTCGTTGTTGGTTCTTTTGTTCTCATTTAAGAACATGACAAGTCTTGGCGGGTGTTATTAAGTATTGCAATTTCAAAGATATGAAAACTATGAAATTGATTGAATTATAGGGTTAATACACCTCCCTTACAAGCTACTGACGTTTATTTTGACCAATTAGGATGTTGCACACTCGCATTCTAGGTTTCCACATATTAAGCCATTAGTGTCACTGACAGGTCCTAGATGGGCGAAATGACTTATTTTCATTATTATCATTGTTCGGCTCTATTGCACCTAAATTCACACAAAGAGGTGATGTTTACTTGTGTGTTATCTGCTCAGTGATATGACACAGTGTAGGTTAGACAGATGTGCATAAATTGTACATTGATATTGGGCTACTCTCCTAGCCTGTAAAATATCTCGACCCAATCAAATGTAAGTGTCTCCTATATAGTACTCACGAGCCAGGAGTTACAGCCATCGGGAAAACACATTGGCAATAACAGAAGATACGATCTGTAAGGTCTTACTGGAGAAATAGTCACTTATAGTGTTTGTAAGCTTTGGTTACAATCTGTCTAGAAAATCGTGCCAAAATATTGAGGGGGATTAATAGTGTATCGACCCGCTGGTTTTACTCGCTTACTTATCCACACAGTGTGTCGGCAACTTGGAGACTAAATACTGGCGAGTTATTGTCTCCGAATTCATGTCACGGAAGTATGGTTAGCTTGTCTACTTAGGCTTGTAAACGGAAGTGTGGTAAGCTTGTCTACTTAGGCTTGTAAACGGAAGTGTGGTAAGCTTGTCTACTTAGGCTTGTAAAAGGAAGTGTGGTTAGCTTGGGTACTTAGGCTTGTGAACGGAAGTGTGGTTACCTTGGGTACTTAGGCTTGTGAACGGAAGTGTGGTTAGCTTGTCTATTTAGGCTTGTAACCTGAAGTGTGATTAGCTTGGGTACTTAGGCTTGTGAACGGAAGTGTGGTTAGCTTTCTACTTGGGCTTGAAAACTGAAGTGTGATTAGCCTGTGTACTTAGGCTTGTGAACGGAAGTGTGGTTAGCTTTCTACTTGGGCTTGAAAACTGAAGTGTGATTAGCCTGTGTACTTAGGCTTGTGAACGGAAGTATGGTTAGCTTGTCTACTTTGGCTTGTGAACGGAAGTGTGGTTAGCTTGTCTACTTTGGCTTGTGAACGGAAGTATTGTTAGCTTGTCTACGAAGGCTTGTGAACGGAAGTATGGTTAGCTTGTCTACTTTGCCTTGTGTCCGGAAGTATGGTTAGCCTGTCTACTTTGGCTTGTGAACGGAAGTATGGTTAGCTTGTCTACTTTGGCTTGTGAACGGAAGTATGGTTAGCTTGTCTACTTTGCCTTGTGTCCGGAAGTATGGTTAGCCTGTCTACTTTGGCTTGTGAACGGAAGTATGGTTAGCTTGTCTACTTTGGCTTGTGAACGGAAGTATGGTTAGCTTGTCTACTTTGGCTTATGAACGGAAGTATGGTTAGCTTGTCTATGGTTAGCTTGTCTACTTTGGCTTGTGAACGAAAGTATGGTAAGCTTGTACACTTAGGCTAGTGAACGAAAGTGTGGTTAGCTTGTCTACTTTGGCTTGTGAACGAAAGTATGGTAAGCTTGTACACTTAGGCTAGTGAACGAAAGTGTGGTTAACTTGTCTACTTTGGCTTGTGAACGGAAGTATGGTTAGCTTGTCTACTTTGGCTTGTGAACGGAAGTATGGTTAGCTTGTCTACTTAGGCTTGTGAACGAAAGTGTGGTTAGCTTGTGTACTTGGCCTAGTGACCGGAAGTAT